AACAACATGATACTATAGAAACTAAAAATATTCATGCATAATATGCAATGTAATAAATAATAAGTCACCACTGACAGTTATGTCTTGATTTAAGTTTCCATTATTTTACAATACAGTTGACACAACATTATATCAAATTTATTTAAAAGTTTTTGGTGATTGTGCTGTTGTACATGGATTAGTAAGCTCTGAACAAAAGACTTATCCCAACCCCACCCAAGCAACCCATTTTACCAATTGAGATCTGATTAAAGACATATGCTAGGCTCACTTCACTTGCAAAAGTGGACGACAATGGATTTCTTAGGTATGTAACATTGTCCGGTCAATTATCGTTTTCCTCTAACCATAAATGCCACAGAAAATATGTTCAAAATGAAATTGGTGGTAAACGGTACTGTCTATAGATGACAAAAAATTGCTACTAATGCATGAACCTTAATCAATGAGCTGATGAAATGTGGAGATTCAGCCATCATTATTACGAGGGGCAGAAATGGATAAAAAGAAGATGACATAAGTTCATCATCAGGGATTATGTTCTATATCTTTTAGATCATACCATACCAAAGGCACAATGTTTTAAACAAAAACAAAAACGACTTTCTTCTTCAAACACACACACACTCACCATATCGGCCATTCCAAACCTTTCTTCTACAAACGCGCACACACACAGATGGGGTTCAGAGAGAGAGAGAGAGAGATTAAGAAGATAAAAAGAAAGGAAGTAACAATTACCTCATAGTTCTCAGGATATTTAACACGCCTAACTATATAACGATCAAATTCCTGTCTTAAAAGATCTAACCCGCCAACATCGTCCCATTTTACATTAGGAATTGCAGAGAAGCCTTCTCTTTTTGATGAAGGCTGAACCACTTGAACTGCTTCCTGCAGGAACTCACATGATAACACTGTCAACTCGAGAAATTTCATGAAGACAGCATACTAACTGTTTTTCATTTCAATATGTAGCAATGTAATTCAAAGAATGGGGAGAAAAGGTAGAAGTAGTTAATTTCAGGACACCTGAAAATCAGCCATACTGATAGTAAGCTTTTCCATTTCTTCAGGGGTCCATGGTTGCCTCCACCAATCTTCATTGCACTCCTCATTCATAGAATCTATGGACATATAAGTCTTCCTCTTGTGTATAATCCTTTTCATGGCAATGTTACCAGCCCTGTCAGCCAGGGCTGCCAAATCAGCCCCCACAAACCCTGGTGTAGACCTGGCTATTTTAAGAAGATCAAAAGAACCTTCAAGTCTCAGATTGCGTGTAAGCACAGAAAGTATCTGAATCCTCGCATTTTCATCTGGAACACCTAAAACAATCTCACGGTCAAATCTCCCCGGCCTTCTCAGAGCATGGTCAACAGCATCAGGCCTATTGGTAGCTCCAATAACAAGAACATAGCCAGACTTGTTATCGGAACTTTGCGAATCCGAATTTGCATCAGCCGGTTGTACAAGCCTATGAGATTCATCCATGCAAGTCATTAGTTGTGTCACAATTCGCCTCTCCATTTCTCGTTGCAAACTTTCTCTTTTTGAAGCAATTGCATCAATTTCATCAATAAATACAATTGAAGGGGCAGTTCTATAAGCTTTAGAAAAAAGCTCTCTTATATTTTCTTCAGATGCACCTAAAATTTATGAAATGACAACAATTACAATTTTCATCAACATAAATAAAAGATAAGAGCCTTAACAATAACAGGGTTTTTCAGCTTCTAATTCAACTTTTTTAGTGACTAATGCTAATACCTGAGACACCAGAGACAACTTCAGTGGCAGAAATTTTATAAAAGGGAATGCCGGTTTCATTGGCAATGGCATGAGCCAATTTGGTCTTGCCACACCCGGGAGGGCCGTACAACAAAATCCCAGACATTGGCCTAACTCCGAGCCACCGAGGCAGCTCCGGATGGCGAAGCGGCACAATCACCTCCATCTTCAGCTCCTCTATCACCTTCTCCATCCCACCTAAGTCACTAAACCTCGGCCCCTCACTTCCCTTCACCTCAACCCCTGTAACCGAGCCCTTGGTTTCAGCTGCTTGCAATGTCTTTGGCCGCCTTGGCCCTCCATTTCCGCCCATTAACTCAACTTCGTCGCGACCAGGAAGCTCCATTTCTACATTCTTCTCCTTCTGATCCTCGGCTGCCTTGGGCTTCATGGCGCTGTTCGATTCCATATACGATGCTCGGAGACTCGATTTCATCACATCAAACTCCGGCTCCACTTTCTCGCTGTATATTGCGTCCTCCGACATCGACACAGACCCATCTTCATCAGCATCATCATCAGAAGAAGAAGAGGAAGAAGAAGATGTAGATGGTCGGTCACCATTCCTTACACGAATCCTTCTAAGGTGGGCAGACTCCATTCGCTGCAATTTATCCTCGCTCTTACTGGCAGCACGCTTCTTCCTTCTCTGGGAATTGCTTTGGCCGTCTTCTTCTTCTTCTTCTTCTTCTTCTTCTTCTTCTTCTTCTTCTTCTTCTTCTTCTTCTTCTTCTTCTTCTTCTTCTTCTTCTTCTTCTTCTTCTTCTTCTTCTTCTTCTTCTTCTTCTCCTTCTTCTTCTAAGTCACTGACATGGATTAGGGTTTTCGATTGCTTAAAGGAAGGCGAGTCTAGGGTTTGCTGGACGAACTTGTTGAAAGACTGGAGCTTGATGCGGTGGTAGTCTCGGTAATTATTGCGAAGTTGGTGGACGATTTCGTCTAGAGAGGAGGATCGCAGGTGCTTGAAGGTCTCCAAACGACAACGAAGAACCCTCTGCTTTTG